ACAAAGAAACGTATGATAATCGAGGGGAAATTAGATAAGTATGGAAAGCCAAATGAAAACACACCAGCTGAATGGTTAGAAAGTTATACTTATTATTCCGGAGGTAAATCAACAGAGCCAACGGTAACAATTAAGGCAAGTTAAAATTATTTCCACAATTACTTATAACATTTCGTAAATTAAAGTTAAGAGATTACTTATGAGAGGTATTTAATTAGGCCGAAAATAACGACGTTGATAAAGTTAGTAAAAAACGAAAGAGGGAAAGTGATATAAGTGAAATAGATACAACAGATATATCTGTAAAACAAGAAGAAGTATCCGTTAAAGTGGAAGATCCAGAAACATCATCACCAAAGGATAAAAAGAAAGAGAAAAAGGAAAAGAAGAAAAAGAAAAAGAAGGAGAAACAATGTGCGGAAAGTGAGGATTCGACGATGATGGAAGGTGTAAGTAAGATAATTAGGTCAATTGTTATTATTAGTTAATAACACAATCATATATATATATAATTGAATAATGTTTATATATTTTATAGGATATCTCCGTAAAGAAAGAAAAAAAGAAAAAGAAGAAAAAGAATCAAGATCAAGAACCTGAATCAAGCTAAGAATTTATATTACAAAAATAAATTTTAATTTTAATTTCGGAATAAAAGAATTTATATGAGCGTACCTAATCGGTTTTCGGTACCCAAACATTTCGTTTAGCTATTTCACCCCAGCTTAATAAAATTAGGTATAAACTGTTATGTGAAGTGTGTAATTATGATTTTTTTCACTACGACTATATTACATGCATGGCTACAACGCTGATGAATGTGTATGAAATTAATAGTACGATTGATATCTGCTGCTTCATATAGATGTTTCGTTGATATATTATCAAATAATGACAGCATTCCCAACCATATTATCTATATATTGTATGAATGTCGTTTAAATAAGCGAATTGTTCCATGACAAGGGCAATCTTTTGACTTTTAACGTATGATACAAAATAGAGCCACTATAATAGTGTGTCGTAGTGAAAAATAATTACACAAATTTAGTTACACAATTATGTTAAGATTTTATTTTCGTATATTGTACAGTAATTCATCGATTTCCTTATAGCTCCAACTGCGCAATTGAAAGATAAAAGATATTGTAGATTTTACTTTTGATAACTTTCCTTTCGATTTTTATTTTTTCAGACTATGCAAAAATATACTTTAGAATTCTGGAATTTCACTTGTATTCTCACTTGATTTAGTAAAGTGAGAGCTAACTGTACATATACGATTATTTTTTAATGGATTTAAATAAAATGATGTATCTAAGTGTGTTATATATATACGCACATATTTTATAAGATATATAATTTAATATATCTTAATTTGTACAAAAATTATCGTTATAAACGTATAATTATAGCATTATATTTGAGTGTATCACACAAATTCCACGTGCTTCAATTACAATTAATTAACATCTTATACAACATAGAGTTTTTGTATTAATTATAGGATTTTTTATGCAAAGTTTATTTTGTACTCTTTTTGTTATATCATGTTATGCACAATGTGCTAGCGAATAATACTTGAGAGAATAGCTATTAGACTTATAAAGATGACGTACTATTTTTAGTAAAAACACGTGGAATTTATTTTACGTATATCTTCAATATTCATTTATGTTGGTATTGCGTGAAACAAATACAAGATATCATATGTACTTCTACAGTATTTTAAAAAAATGTATATTTCATTTACATATGTAGGGAATGGTATACATCTTTAAAAAATCTGTAAGATGTCTTATCTTTTGTTCACAACCTTGCTTTACCAGTTCAAGACAGTTATATTTAGTAAGTGAAATATTTCGAAGACAGATTTTAGTGATTAAAGAGCCATTTTAACCAGGATTTCAGGCTGTACATTTTAATACATGTTCTGACCTATTTTTGATACTTTCGATGTTTTTAATTTTATGATCGCGCTCGCTTATGTTACATTCATCTAATAAAATTGGAAAATTTTTCTTTGTTCATTGTCATTGTTGAGAAAAGAAAATTTTATTGAGAATATAATAAAAGTACTAGGGAAAAGAAAGGAAGCATTTACCTCATTGTTAAAAAAGTTCGGGATCAAAGAAAATGCATTGTTTTTACTACTGGAGCAAGAAAAAATAGCGAACAAAATATCTATTAGGTGTACAAATAAGTTCGGTGCCTTTACTTCAAACGTTTTGTAACTCTCAGTCAAATTAAAATTTCTTCCCGCCTTATGGTGATCCGAATGTGCCAATCTTAAGCTTCAAGAAACACTATAAGCAGGTTCCACTCACGCTCGCAACGATTGCGAGTATCGTTCT